CATACACTGTGCCAGATCCCCTGCTGTGATATGTATCTACTAATCTCTAGCTTGTATGGTTGCAGGGAGGCTGCAAGCATGGGAAAACACTTAAACATCCAAATTCAGGATAACATCCTGAAGTCATGGTGTAAAGTAAAAACAATAAATAAAGGTTCTTTGGGAAGGAGGGAAGACAAAATTACTTAATTTTATGTGTTTTCCCATCACAGTAGTTAAAGAAGCTAAGGTTTACAGAGGGCAAGTGAAAAAGGCCTGTCCAGTCCACTTTAGAAGGAAGAAGGTGTTGGCTGCCCAGAACCAGTATCCAGAGCCCTGCTATCTCCTCAATCACCTTTAACACCAGAGGCAGGGAAGATGAAGTTCTCAGAGCTTTCTTGCCACTGTAGTCCTGATTTAGGGCACAGACAAGTCAGACTCATGAGTTAGCCAAGGTCCTGAGCACCTGAAGGCACTTCTCTCTGCAAAGAGTTATCCTAATTCAGAATGACATCTGTGTATTTTCTTTATAACTTACCCTATCCATGAACTACGTTCACTTGCATTTCTAATTAAAAATAATCCGTTTGTTAACAGTGACTTCTGGCTAAGCTTAACCCAAGTGATATGACATGTGATATGACACCTTGCTCCTGCTGGGATGCTGAATATTTTATGCAGAGCTGCCCTGAGAAGATGCTTGGCCATGACGTAGTGAAGATACTGAGTCCACAATGCACTGAGTTGCGAGGTCCTGGTTCTAGGTAGTCAAGACAGGCTGTCTGGCTACAAAGGGGTGTCTATCCCTCTGCAAGGGTTAGACTGAGACTCTGACAAGCAGGGAGGCAGGGGAGAGGCACAGCTCAGAGGGTCACTGAGAACCAGTCCAGAATGACCTGAGAGCGACCAGCCTGCTCTCCTCAGCCAGCTGAACTACCAAGAAATCCCAATGGGGAAGGCACTAAAGGGGATTTTCCTGTGTGTACTTGCAGCTTTTTGGATCAGCCGATTTTGGAAATAGAGGACTAACATTCATTTAACACAATTTGCAGTTAGGTCTTGTCCAGAACTGGTTGGTGACACATGACCTCTGTGTTGTTCAGAGGGAGACAGAGAGGAAAAAGAGATGAAAGCTCCTTTATGTCTCATGCTAACAGTAAAGATAGGGAATCAGAAAGCAAGTGGACTACAGAAACCAAGAGGCAGGGTTCAGCTCAGTCACAGGTCTTTTGCACCTATATCTCCCCTGAACTGGAGCTATTTCACATCCAGTCAACTCAGAGCACAGGCAAGGAAGTGGGCTTTGCCCCTGCTTCCTGTGAAGGGATATTCCCTTGCTTGCTTCAGGGAGGAATGAAAGAGTGCAGTGACCCTGAAGCAGGTCAGACTTTCAGCTGTGCCTTTTATTCATGTCCAGGCTTTTCCCAGTCTTTGCAGATACGGGTCTCTTCATGCCATCTCCCTGTGATGCTGTCTGGAAAAGGGGGCGGGAGAGCAGAGTGAAGGAGAGTCGGTGATAAAATGGACCACACAGCCCTGGAGTGCCAGGTGTCAGCTCCTTTTCTCACCAGCTTTTCTTTTCTCAGCAGCCCGCTGAACATTCTTTTCAGGTTACTTCAGAGCTCTCACACAGCATCTGCATCCCTGAAGCAAAGGCAGTGTATGGTTGGGTGGCTCTGGAGGTGAGAGCCATCAGTGAAGCAGGTGCCTCATCAGGCACACAGCAACAGCCAGCACCACACAGGGGATGAAGCCCAACATCACAGCCAAGAGGTTACCGGGCAAGCTGGGCCACCATGTGCAGCCCGTGGATCACAGATGAGGGAGTTGGACACAGCACAGCACTGCTAAAGTGTGCAAGATGTGCAAGGAGTGGGATAGGACCTCATTGCATGCCTCACATCCAGTCATGGCTGGGCATCAGCGGGCCTGCAAGCACAGCTAGCCAGTTCCGGAGCGTGCACATTTCTTGACTCCTCAGTCTACTCCAGGCGCTCCTTCTGCATCCAGGGGACAAGGGTCACTGCAGTCCTTTCACAGGGTGCCAGTGAAGCAGTAGGGAAAGAGCCAAGGTAAACTCTTGAAGAAAAGCAAGAGCCACCACAAACACAGCTGACTGAGCCCAGCAGGAGCAACCGTGTGCTCTGTGTTGTCCCTTTAAACAACATTCAGAGAAGTAATATTGTAAGCCAGTGGCTGTTTCCCAAGAGGCAGGAGTCCTGGCTGCCATGGTCAGCCTTGCCAATCCCTTTGCTTTTTGGCTTTGCCTAGGCCACAGAACCTCTATGTTTCTGTTTCCCTGCTATTACAGCATGTGGCAAAGGGGAGGGACTCCTTCCAAAGCATCTGCTGTTTTTGACTAGAGCAGCAAAGGACCAACTCAGCTTGGCACTGGCCAGCGAAGAGAGGGACAGCATAATGCCTTGAGTCAAGTACAGAGGCTGCCTGCAAAAGTGCTTGGAGCACAGATCCTCGGGAATTAAATTCCCAGGGAAACGGCCAGTGTTGCCCATGTGTTTCCTCCCAGCCACCCTGCCCTGCTCTGTCTCCACAGGGCCATTATGCCAAGTGGTGAAAGGTGGACACTCAGGCCTCTGTCTCCACATAGTACCCGAACACCACATTATGGGCACAAGCCAAATATCTAAGATACACCTGTGTCCCTTGGCCTGACCCACCCCACTGTCAGCATCTCCACTCCTACCCCTCAACCAGGGCCTTCCTGCAGCCTGTGGACACATCAGAAGTCTGCTGGAGACTCAGACCTTACACTCTTTTTACCACAGCACATGCCCTTCCTAGGTCTCCCAAGCCTGCCAGGCTTAGCAGCCACAGAGGAGAGACCCTTCCCCCACTGTGTAATAGAAGGAGTTTCAGAGAGGCTTCACAGCAGAGAAACCAGAATGGCTCTCTACTATCCCCTTCCAGAGCTGAGGTGACCAGCTATTTCAGCTAAGAGGACTCCTTCCCTGGCTGTTGGCATCTGTGGATCTTACCTCTAAGTCTTCGTTTTTTCTTGTGTGTCAGTCAAGTGAAACTAATCACAGATGAGTTTTAAAGTATTGGATGTTATCTCACCATCTCTGTCCCAGAGTCTGTCTCCTTAACTGTGTTACTGTTTGACAGCCTGCAGGGCCTCTACACCTCGTCCAGGAGTTAATATTTTATCTAGACGTTCAAGGGAAGCTTGGTGGATATTGTGCTAGCCTTGAAATGCCAAAGGTAACTTTAAAATATTTCTTTCCGGACTCTGAAATGTTGCTAGTAGAAATGTATTCTCTAAAAGGAAATAGCTCCAAACCTAGGCTAACAGCTGGGGAGATTATTCATGGAAATCAGTGCCCTGAGGCTCTGTATCACTTTCATTTGTCTTTCCCAAACCCCCCACCTTTATGGAGGCCAAGTGCATCACTCTTCTAGCTCCAGGGAGGTGAAGTGGAAGCAGCTCTCCAGCAGAGGAAAATGTGTTCATCCTGAAAACATTTCTTTGTTCTCATTGCACAGGATCATTTATCTACCGTGCAGCAGATTTATGTGAGGAACAGCAGTGACACAGGGCATAATGACTCCATTTTGTTTAATAATTAACTCACATGTTCTCCTGGTGCCACACGTTCCAGCAGACACTGTAAGGCAGTCAGGCTGTGCTGGCTGGAGAGCTAAGCAGCAGGTGGGCAGTAAGGAAAAACTGATTTCTCCTTCTGCTCACTGATGTTGTGCCCTAACTAGTGCTGGGGTCTTCTTACCTGAGGTGTGCTGTCCCAACAGCTCTTCAAACGCTGCAGACTCTGCACGCTCTGAGTATTTTACCAAAACAACAGGCACTGTGGTGTATTATTTCGACAGGGGTCATATAGGACCTATTTCAAAGAGCAAACCTGAACTATGTAGCAAGAATGAGAATGGAAGCCAAAATTCATCTGAGTTCTCCCACTACCAACAAGAAGCTCCATCTTGCAACCCGCCACTGTTTGGTTTGCAAATGGCCAGGAATTGTTTTACAGGTTTTAGGAGAATTTGCTGGAAACTTTTCGCCAAATTTTTCTCAAATTTTAACGACTGTTCCTCACAATCAAATAATTTCTGGGGAAGAGATGCTTTCAAAGAACTTGTCACCTTGAAATACTGCTGAGGGCATCCCTTTTCTAAGTATTTAGACTTTTTTTTTAAGAAAAAAAATTTCACCACAATTTACAATACTCAGTCGTTCAAATACAGAAGGTTAGATATATTGAAAAGGTTCTAAATACATCATTTTAAGGTTACTGAAATAAAATATTTCAAAAATATTTCAAAAAGGGCTTTTTTCCCCACTAGCAAGATATCAATTCTTTGAAAAGTTAGAGACTAGCTTTTTTTCCAAATTCAAGATACATCTCTTTCCACAATATCTCAAATCTTTGGGAAAGGGCGAATCTATTACTCCCTTAGCTTGTTTTTTAGAGAGGTAGAAAACAATAAAACAGAAAGGAATTTATCAGGAAAAAAAAATCTCAACTAGAATCCTTTGCTTAAGTGAAAACAACCCTAGATTTATCAGGGACACTTGTAGTCAAGGCTGAGGCAGTTGCAGTTTTAGCAGCACTTCCCTTCCTGAACAAACGCCTGAGATGCCATCAAGTTCTCTCTGCCTCCGACCTGAACTCTGTTTCTATATCTCTGTCTATTTTAAGGCATATCCCATACACAGTCCTTTCAGCTCCTCACAGTCAGGAATGTGGCTCTTCCTGGAAACCATCTGCTCAGGGAGACAGCTGAGCTTTTACTGAGGACTGAATCTGTACCCTGCACTGCAGCACCACCCCAATGGGTTAGGGTGTCCTCCTCGCAGCATGTTTCCATGGTTTCAGGTGGGTTAGGGTGTCCTCTCCACAGCAGGTTTCCAGGGTTTCACGATTTCAGCACTCAGGGAAGACCAGCAAATGTGGGAGGGACTTTGGTTTGCAGGATTACACCTTATCACCAGTCCTCAGGCATCGAACTATGATTTGGGTGCAACCTGACAGCCACATTCTCCCTACCTGCCCCACATGAGTTTTCTTTCCAGGCCTCCTCTGCACTCATCAGGCCATGAGTCCTACTGATAGCTTGTGCCAGATGACTGCTGCTCCATGTCCCGTGGAGGCTGCCAACCAAGCCTTGCTGCCCTGCTAGTCCAATGGTCTGAAATGACCTTCAAGAGATTGGCTGCAAGGTGAAAGTACACAAGCAGGTTGAAGCTGGTTATTCAGCATCCAGGGATTAGAGCAAACAAGAGCAAACAAAGCTGATTTCATTGTCTTCTGCAAGACATCATTGTCTAAGTCAGATCTGCAAGCCCCAAAGCAGAAGCTGAGAAGAGCCAAGGGGCCAAGGTAACCCAGATTCAGGGGACTGGAGGACTCCTGATTGGGCTACAGGGGGAGAGGATGAGATCCAGTGAGAACTGGGAGAATATTATTCCAGATCACATCTAACTGAGTACTGAAGTGCGGATCCCAATCAGTGCCCTATCTTTTCTCCTACAGTCAGTCCCAGTGAAATTCTGTATGATGGCATCATCTTTGATTCAAAGTGGGAGAGACAACAGTCCAAACCACTTTGGTAATGGGCAAGTTTCAGAAGGGATCCTTGAAAATCTTCCCCCAGCTGAATGTCCTACTAACATTCTAGTAGTTCCTGAGAGCCCTAATACAGATTTTTATCTTCCCTGTCACTATTGAATTGTATTATGTTCTTTTACTTACCCTCTGAGTGCTTCCGGAGCAGATGAGCTGGGGGGATGCACAACAGCACATTTGCACCCTAAAATCATCAGGTGGTTGCTTAATTCCTTCAGAGGAGGGTTGAGTAATTTGGGAAGAGGAAGGTGGGGAGGACCTCAACAGACTTCAACTCCCTATTTTCTGGTTAACATCACCAGATGCCTCCTGCAATGCCTAGTCTGTAAAGGGGGTGCCGAAGCTCAGGGGGTAGTGAGGAATTACGGCTAAAGTTCTCCCTCTTCAGTCCTTGAACACACAAAGAGTGGCTCCACATTTCCTCCCAGGGCCATCCAGCTCAATGATGTGTGACTAACTCTTTCATTGACCAAAGACCAACCACTTTCCTCACATGACCTTACATAACTGCTCATCTATTTTGTTAATGAATGGAGCTTGAGAAAATTTCCATTGCCTAAGGCCCTTGGGGGAAAATGCATGAGCACCATCTCCACCTTTTGTGTGCTGATTTGGGATTTTCCTATGGATTAACTGAGTACAGTAGTATTATTTTTTGGTTGCTGTCATTGGTGACTGAAATGTTAAGCTAATAGCAGGGTGCCATGGGGGTGAAGAAAAAAAAGAAAAGGAGCCCCTGCCTGAGCCAGAGGAAGCAGGAGACTCCTTCTGCCAGGAGGAGCAACAGGGACATCACTGCCATCAGTACCTTAGTCAGGGACTACACCTATTCCCAGGAAAAAGCTGTTGTGTTTACTCAGCCTGGAACGGAGCCAAAACACCTCCTGGCTTCTCTTCACTCCCCGCCACAGATCCAGCAGTGCCAACCTGCTGGTGTCCCAGGGGCCAGACCCAGTGCTGGGGCTGGCAAACAGTTCTCTCTGGCCTGCCATGGTCAGGATGGAGCAGTCTGACACTGAGCAGCAGTGGAGAGGGGTGATATGTAGCTGTTGGGTATATTGGCATGTCAGAGGTACACCCCCCAGCATTTACAGCAGGTAGGAACTGGTGGGAAGGTAGGTATATCCCAGTATTTCTAAAAGCTCCTATCAGTGTTTCAGATTTTCTCATTTCAACCACTTCACTGCAGTGCTAAGATAGAAATTACTTTTACCATAAAACTCCTTCTGCCAGTGGAAGACTGGGGAGGGAGGAGCTCGACCTCTCAGAAAGCAATGCCATGCAAAGGCATTTGTAAGTGCTAGAGACACATTATTTTCAGAAATGGGATTTATGCCATGTCCTTGGAACCGAAGAATCTGTTGGATGTGCAATGTGGGCTCCCCGTGGTGCGGGCTACAAATCTCATGGTTTAGGAATGTTGCTGAAGCTAACAGGATAGCGAAGTTGAACAGGGCATGACTGGACTACCACCAAGGATGGAAGTGGCAGCACTAAAATACTAGAGGATGATCCTTTTAATTTCAATTGATGGGAAGAAAATGCAAATGCTGCCCAGGCTTCTGTAATGCCTGGTCTATGCGCAGTGATGAGTAAATATTTAACTGCAGAAAGAACATTCCCTTCCAGAGATTGAAGGAACCAAGTTAATCAGTTCCAGACTATATTCAAGTCATGGGTGTCAAGAGGACAACACAAGTTCAAAACCTTGAGGATGTTCAAAGTCTGCTACTACACCTGGGCAGTTGCCATGTCTTCCCTGGGATGCTAAAAACGAGGATCTTTTCATCTGCTGAGAAAGCAGGATAGTTAACTGACTCAAAGACATGCTTCACAGAGAGGGGGAAGGGTTGGAGATGTGGCAAACAGAGTTTGAAAATCTTCCTGTTGCATCCAGATGGTGCTTCAGAAACTCAGGAGATGAGGCTGCTGCAGCAACTAGGCTGGGCAAGTCCTCAGGCAGGTCTGGAGATGTTCCCTGCCCTGGCAGACCACTGGGCGTTCACTGGCAGGGCTGATGACAGAATTCACCACTGATAGTAGCTCCCAGGCTTTAGAAAGTGCTCAATTTCTGTCAGACCCTCCTCTTACACAACAACATATTTCCAGTTGTTCTTTTACCCCAGTACAGTTAATTTGCCCTCAGTGTGGTTAATTTGCCTTCATCTGTCTCTCCCTTACAAAGCCAGTCTGTTCTCTTCAGAGATTACGGAGTGATGTTGTTAGTACTCATGTCTATAATAAAGCAAGTTCCTCCAGGCATGATATAGTTCATATTTTCATATAATGTCTGTAGGGCTTGCACTGCACTCCCTGAGCATTGGAAAGAGACTCAGGTATCGGCATAGTTTCTACCACGAGTAGGAGTGGCTGACCAGCTGATGAGCTGGGGTCTTGGCTGCTTGTGGCTGCTCATTCATCTCTGACTTTTCCTGGTGCCTTGGAGTAGAGATGTCTCTCTGTGGAGAAAAAAAACACTCCAAGAATACATGTCTCTTTAGATCCAACTTCCTCTGATATCTCCCCAACAAAACCCCCAGAGGTTCAAGACAAATATTTCTAGTCTCCTGCACTATACACTATTCTCTCCCCTACAGCCCATTTTGTTTGAAAGGACCTCATTTAGAGCTCAGAGGAGAAAGGAGGGAAGTGATTCAGTGTCCGAGTCCATTTGGATGACTGAACATCTCTTAAGTTCTTCAGCCAAAGCACTCATCATTTACTATCTAGGGTGTTTTTTTGTTAAGAGTCAAAAGAGTCAAATATTTTACCATGCAACTGAAACTTTTGCCTGTTATTCAAAGCGCAACTCCTCCTAGAGAAATCACAAATCAGAATAATGGTAAACTGAGTTCTGGCTACAAAATAAAAAAGCAAAAGTCTGTGTTGCTATTTCTCACTTTGGATTTAAATCCTCTGGACTGAACAGCCCTTACCAGGCACTGTGTAAAGTCTTCTCCTAAAATAAGATGACAGGGGTCAGGGGCCCAAGCTAAGCTGATTAGCACAACTAAAGCTGTATCACATTGCTACAGTAGGGTCATATGATTGATCACTGGGATAAATATTTAGGAAGCTTCCCAAGGGAAGTGGAATAGATGGGACTGACCATAGAAGCCAGGGAAAATGGGCAGCTGGGATGTGGCTAACACAGGGTCTGATACCATTCACTTGTCATAATACAGATCAAAAAAGCAGGAGTTGTTTTGCAATGGAATTTGCATCTCCCATCAGCTTACCCTCTGAGTATGTGTTCTGCTCCACAGCATTCTGGATCACCTTCACTGAAAGGCAGCATTTTTAGCAGGCAGACCATGTCACTCTGCAACCACATGCCACCATTCTGCCAGGCTTTGCTGGCACAGGTCAGTCCTGCTCCTGTCTCCCAGCAGCTAGGAACAACACAGTGCCCACTGCAGAAGGGCAGCATGCTCATCAGTGAATCAAATGGGCTTTCCATGGGCTTTGACTTTCCCAGAGGCAGCGTGGAATCCTCCCTTGAAGGGGCTCTGAGCAGCCAACAAACCGTGACAGTATGTGAGTGGTGTGTGTGGGAGTAGTACTCAGCTTGACTCAGACCCTGAGTTCTCCTCTATGGGCAAGTTGCACCCCTCGTTCTGCTGGGGCTCTGTTAGCAGGGTGCTGACTGGCCTCAGGAGCTTTGTCCCCGTTCAGCAGGGACAGAGAGTCCTCTGGACCTCCTCTTCCCACCACAAATGATGGACGATATCGTGGGCTGGATTCCAGCCTTCATAAGCAAGGCCAGAGTCTGGCTCAGCCACCAACCCACTCACCCTGAGGCACCCAGAGCCACGACGTGAAAGTTCCTGAGCTCCATACAAAACTCACGGCAACCAAAGTGGTCACTGGGAGGGCTGAGGGGCAGGCAGGAGGGAGGTACTGCCCCAGTGACCACCCTGGGGTCCCACTGCAGCACCCAGGGAGGCTCCTTTGTCCTGCTGAGACCTGGGTGCTTGGGGAGCAAAGGCGAAGCCCAAGGATTTAAAAGGATAAGCATGAAGGCAAGGAGGCTGTGAGCGACGGAAAATGAGCGCACAGCCATTCTGGAGAACCTGTATTATTAAACAGGTTGTGAATGCCAGCTGCCACCTGCCCTCGAGGGGGTGGAGGGAGTGTGCTTTCCACACATGCAGTGCCTATACAAAACCTTTCTCACGTCAAACTCAGCGGTGAAAAAAAGAAGCCACCAGAAGTTAACCTTCTCCTCTAACCCCAGCTTTACTAGCTCTCATTTCTTCACTGTTTGTCTTTCCTGCCTTGTTGCAGACTGAGGTTGTTTGCCAGAAAATAAGACAAAGGCTTGTTGGTGCCAGAATCTGCCCTTCCAACAACAAGGAATAGCAGTAAGTGAGCAAGTAGGGGCACACAGAGCTGTACAGAGAGCAGAAGAGAATAGCTCCTATTATTTTGGTAAGTTGCTGTTGACTTTGAGGCAGGACTCTCAGGGAAAGGTAACAGCTGGTGTTAGACAAATGATACGGCTAGAAAAAAAACAGAAGAGCTTTTAGACACACAAATCCTTTTGAGCTGAAGCAAAGGGCTATAAACGTCAGCCTAAGCACATATTGGAAAAGTTACCTCTAAATCTCTCTCTTTGGTGAAAAATAAGGCTTCATGGGGAAAGAACTTGCCCCTCCTCAGGGAGCAAAATAGAGGCATGACTGGATCACTAATCCCAGCTCTTCTACAATAAGATGGTGTTTCTCTACCTGTAGAAGCCACTGCTGTTGCTGAATCCACCAAACAAATCCTGTTATGTTACTGCAATAGCACCCTAGTACTTGTGGGCACTGGCAGATGCTCTGCCCCACTACATTGCTGCACATGAGCAGTTTGCAAGTGCCACTCAGACACAGCCTTGTGATGTTGAGCTCTGGTTTGTGATTTACATTGACCTCAGAGATGTCAGGTCAGTTTATGCAACTGCTCAACTCAGTCTTTGCTGCAAACATTCATTGTATTTTGGAAAAAAAAAAAGGACCAGTGTGCAGGCCCTGGGGAGAGGCAGAGAGGCAGCAGGGTTGAGCAGAGCTCAAAAACTGCATTAGCACTAAAAGAAGTGGGTAAATTAGAAGAGACACAGCATGAAAATGCTGTTGAGCTGAGGCACGGTGATGGTCAGTGAAGCAAACTACGCTCTGCTAAGTTGCAGGGTCAAGCAGAAGTAGTATATTGTTTAGTGATGTCAAAGAAGACTGGTCTCAGATACAGCAGACAGTTCACATTGCATTGCGGGTACTGTATGTCTGCTTGATTTGAACAGCAGTGCCATTTGTCCTTGGACAGATGCCTTGGCTTTGATATAGCACAACGAGGTTTGCACAAGAGACTGCATTCAAGTATAACCTCAGTAAGTGTCACAGGAGAAACCCAGACTACGGGTGGCAAACTCTGTTCCTGTGACTGGCGCTCAGCGACGCAATTTCCTATTGCATGGTGTGGAAGTTTTCCTACTTGCTGTCTCAGACCAGCCTCACCCTCTGCTTTCCCCCTGTTATGAAACTCTAGAGATGCTTCCCC